ATGTTAATAATCACAACGTGGAGCACAAGACTCTGCGTGAAGCAGGTTCTCAGTTCATGTGATTTGAAATCATGCAGAACACTCTTGTCTTCATCGAGATATGAGAAAAATCAAAAGCAAAGACATAGATTTTGCTCTCATAGCTCTTCTATGGAACATGTTTAATTTCCAATTGCAGAAGAATAATTGGGGCGTTATTGAACAGTTAAAAGAGGGAACCCAGAATAGAGTCCACACCACTGCACTCAGGAGCTGTGCAGAAATATCTTTAGGGAGGCCTTAAGTTCTGTAATGTTTCAGTTTAGCAAATATTTTGGGGGAGGGGTGTTGGGTAGAAGATTTGGGGTGTAGGCCAAAGGCATGGAGGGTAAGAGGACTCACAAGAGACAGAGTAAAGAGCAGAAAAGGTGTATTAATTGAAAAACAGGAAAGGTGGATTTCTTGAAATACAAGGGCAGCGGGTGAGACAGGAGAGGTCTGGCCTTAGCGGTGACAGGGCTGAGACTTGACCCTTAGGTCTCCAGGAGGTCGAGGAGGCTCCTGTTTTGTACCAGACACTCTCGTAGGTGCTGTGAAGGTGAATGAGCACCTGTCCCAACACCCTGGAGATGATTTTCTACTGACATTAGGCAAGTTTTTGGAGGCCTGGAGGGTGCTTGCTGAGGGGAGAGCTTCAGTAACCATGCCTGAGGGGAGACATCCTGTACTCTCAAAATATTAACAAGGATGTAAAAACAATGTTACTTCATCAAAATAAATAGGTTTTACAATAATTAAATTCTTAAAAATTAGAATAAGGAAGTTCCTATGCTATTATGCTGAAAATGGTTCTAATCATTGCTTACAGTTGTTCATCATTGCAAGAACCCTAGTTCACTTAATGGTATTTGGATAATAATCCGTTGGATTTTTCCCCCCATATCACAGCTTTTTTATTGAGTGTCAAAATTGCTTGAGACTAATTTTAACAAGGTCTTTCAAAATATTCCCCCTTTTGGAGACAGACTAAATGCTAAGAATAATCATTAATCACACAAAATATCTTTGCATTGCAAATTGGAGTTGGCAACTGTGCATAATAAGAAGTTGAAATTACAACACATAAAAGGGACAATCAAGCTATTCTAGTCCAAAATTCATGACTAAACAGTCACCTTGTCTTTCCTATTTGCTCTTTTGTTCACTGCAGGCTTCCACATCTATTTATTTTAATCATTTCTCTAAACAGATACTAATAAATTTTAGAACTTTTGTTGTACCCTTTGCCTCAACACAAGCAAGACAAATTAATTTCCTTCTGTCGTAATTGATTTATATTTCCATGTTTTTACGAGTTGCCTGTGAAGTATAAAATGTTTGCAGGATATACAATTTAGTCATTTGGATTGCATCCATTTCTCCAGAACCACCCTGGTAGGCACATTTATTAAATCATTCTGTAATCTTACAGCAGAATTAGCGCTGGGCCTCCATCAGAAGAATGAGTGGTAGCAATGGAGCCCTGAGGTGTCATTTGGAGCATCAGGGAGGGGGAAGAAGTGAAGAGGATGAAGGTAAATTTTCATCCACCAATGACACCTCAGAGGTAAAACTACCAAGTAGATCTCCTGCATTGCTGGTGGGAATGCAAACTAGTACAACCACTATGGAAAACTGTTTGGAGGTTCCTCAAACTGCTAAACATGGAGCTTCCCTATGACCCAGCAATCCCACTCCTAGGTATCTACCCAAAAGACACAAAAACACTGATTGAAAAAGATACTTGTACCCCCATGTTTATTGCTGCTTTATTTACAATTGGAAAAACATGGAAGCAGCCCAAGTGCCCAAAAGTAGATGACTGGATAAAAAAGATGTGGTACATATATACAATGGAATATTACTCAGCAACCAAAAAAGAGAAACACATGTCTTTTGCAGCAACTTGGATGGAGCTGGAAAAGATCATGCTTAGTGAGATAAGCCAGAAAAAGAAAGAAAAATACCAGATGGTTTCACTCATAGCAGGAGTATAATGGACCAGGCGAGAAAATAACAAAAATAATGAAAACCATATACCAGAGACATTTTGTGGGGGTGGAGTGGGGAATGGGATCAAAAACGGGGGGGGGGGAAGGGAAGGAAATGCATGGGACTATGGTGGTGGCACAGGGGTGATTTGGTGATGGGAAACCCGCGGGGATTACAATCGAGATGGAAAAAAAAATGTGCAAAATGATGTAAAAATAAACTTTGTAATAAAAAAATCAAAAAAAAAAAAAAAAAGTAGGGAAGGGGCACAAGAAACACAATCCAGGAGATGTGGTATTGTGGTGGTTTGCACCTATATATACATACATGGTGGGCAGCATACAAATGAAGAGATGTAAACCCGTACTTCGGAATCATATACCTTACTGTAAACCAATTATTACATCAATAAAAATAAAATGGAATAAAATGAAAAAAAAAAAACAAACTACCAAGTAGAAAGATGTGCGGTATCTTCTCCACACCCTCCCAAGTTTGCAATGCTCTGCCCAGTGTCTCAGGAGTTCTGCCCCCACAGGCAAAAATCACCACAGCCAGGGTCCCACAACTCTGCCCTCCCCATTTCCGGGGGAAAGGAGGCTGGTTCAGATTTCAGCTTGAGTTCAGCTTCCTGGGTGTTCTGTCAAGCCCAAGGCCTCACTCAGATCCTCTTTCCTATACACAGACACAGTCACTCCCTGCTTTAAAGCCTTCTGGTGGCCTGTGTCTCCTCTTCCATCTCCAGGGCTACTTACTACTACTCCAGAAATCTTCCAAATGTTTCTCAAGCACCCACCCCTTCTTCCCAAAAGACTCCCCTGCCACCAGCAGGAGTTCCAGGAGAGACAGACAATGAGCATGGAGGTCTCTGAAGACCTGGGCAGAGGTCCCTTGCTGGGCAGGTCCTGGGGGCCAGACAATAAAGAACGTTCGAGGAGCCGTGGAGCCAGATTATTTGTGATGCTGGGGCTGGAAAGAACACTGTGGAGAGCTTTCTGCCTGGCTTCCAGCTGCGAAGCCTCCAGAGGCTGTTCCTCTCTCTGGAACTGGCCTCTGACCCTTCTTTTGACCCATCTGGGCCATAGCATGAGCTCTTGGTTACTTCCTGTGCTTACTGTTCACTCACTTGAAACTGACCTGGGATATATCTTATATTGTTTAGATTTTCCATTGTGATTTAACTTTTTCTCATGGCTGTTTGACTCAGCTCCTTGAGGACAGAGGAACCCCTGCTGTAGGACAGCAATTTGGGCAAGCCACTGCCAGTCCATGGTGGAGAGAAGTGGTGGTTCTAGTGTGCACACCTCCAGGGTTAAGATACGTGGGAAAAAGCTAGGGTGCTGCATGGCAGGAGGAAACTCCTCTGGTGTAAGGGTATGTAAGGGAGCAAGGAGAATTACACACTTTAGAAACAGTTTATAGACTCCATAACATTTTTCATTCACTAACTGGACACTCCTTTATACATAAATCACCTAATTTTCCTAAACCTCCACTGTGCTTCCCCTAAGTAGACACTCCTCAGTGTTAGGAAAGGATGTTGATCCTGTCACAGTCTGAAAAGAGATGTGTGTGGCAGGAAGGGCAGTGCTCTGCAATGGCCAGAAGCAGCGTGTGTCCTTACGCTCTCAGTCACTGCTAACAACGAGCATTTAACTACTTAGAACACCTCCCGTCCTTGGTGTACAGAAATGACAAGTTGTTTCATTATAATTTCTCATAATGTCCCTGGGCACCCAAAATAAGAATTCACGCATTCATCAACCACTTGATGTACAAGCCACCACCTGCTCTATGTGCAAGCACTGGGCTAGAAGCTTGGGAAACAAAGTCACAAAATGTAGTTACAACCCTCCCAAGCAGTGCATCTTCCCATGGGGGTGACAAATAGCTACATGACTGAGTTGGGGTGTAACACAAATGTGACCGGAATAGAGGGAGACTCAGAGACAGCACCCTAGGAGCTGAATTAGGTTAGCATGTGTCCTGAAGGACAAATTAGCATTCCCTTTATGTGACCAATTAGCATGTGTCCTGAAGGACAGGTTAGCGTTCCCTTCAGGTGGGCAACAGGAAAAAAATCCAAGACATGGGGAATAATGTGTTCTAAGGCAGGGAGGCAAGAAGGAGCCTGGTGTGCTGAGAAAGGTGGACCCTTGTGTCAGAGTGGGCAGTCAGCTGTGTGTGTGGGCACATGTGCGTATGCATGTGGGCATATAAATTTGGAAGGGGATGATGAGAGTGGAAAGGGTGTGAATAATCTTAGTGCCAGGTCTCATTTATATTTTATTCAGTAGATGAGAGGAACCAGCTGAGATTGTTCAGTTGTGGAAATAAAATTAGTGTTGTGTTGGTGAGATTGTTCTGTTGTAATAAAAGAAGAAACCAAGAAGCCAGAGACTTATCTAGAATTTTGTCTGTCTAACTAAGAACTGTAAAAACTGTGAGCAGAGTGCTGCTTAAGAGGCAAAAATGGTAGAATGAACAGACCAGGGCCCTCGTGGAGGGCCAGGGTGACAGAGAGGGAGGGTGAATTTTTAGGCAATCTCTGGATGGTGGGGTGTACTTAGTGACTTAAGGAATAATGGAAAATAATTTTTGTTAATAAGGGTGGAGTGGGCAAACCTCTGTTTGCACCAATAGGTAATCATGCTGTTCATGTGTGTCATTTTTTAGCAACAACAATGAACCCCCCTGAAAATCAGTGTCACTTTCAGGCCAGTGGCAAAGTGCCCTAATTAAAGACATCCTGCAATTATTCCACTCCCTTTCCTCCTCCACATATTTTCCTTTCTCCCAGGCAGATTCCCACTACATCAGCCACCACCCCCACGCAAGACACCAGTTCGAGTTCACACTGAGGGCAAGCACCCAGCAGTTCTGGGCTCTGGTGCAAGTATGATTTCTATAAAAAGACTTTTAAAAAACAAGAAGCAACATTTTCATTTTGCCTTTAATGGAAAAGTGGCTAGCAGTTATAGTTTAAAAAATTATTTTATTAAAAAAAAACCCTACCTGTCTTCTAGCAGTCACTGAGTTTTCAGATATATACATACACTTGAAAACCAATAGTTGTATAAAAATAAACTCTGCACGTGTGATTAAAAAAGGGGACCCCCCCCCAGTCTTTTCAGCTGAACAGATCCATAATAAAAGGACAGTCTTTTGGGATGGGTTCACCCAAGTGTGGAGGGGGCTTTTGCTTTGGAAGACAGGGCCTGCTTGAAGCGCCTCTTCAGGTCTTGCATGTTGGGTGAGCGTGGCCGGGGAATGATGGAGGCTCGTCTCCGCTCCCCACTGAGGCTGTGCATCTTGCTTACTTCTTTGCAGAGATGCTGAAACACATCACAGACATCTTCATAGTTTTCACTGGTGGAAATTTCCAGGAACAGACTCCCTAGTTCGTTGGCTAGTTGCACGCCATCGTGCGTCTGTACCTGCCGGGCATGCAGAAGGTCTCCCTTGTTGCCCACAATGATGACAGGGGCCTTGGAGTCAGGATGGATTTTCCGGATGTGCTGGTAAAGGGGTCGGATGGACAGGTAGCTGTCATAGTCTGTGATGGAGTATACCAGCAGAAACCCTTCTGCCCACTGCATGCATTTGGACAGGGAATCAACGACCTGTGTGAGGTTATCCTGGACCTGAGAAAGAACAAAACGAGTCTGGATCAAGGAAGCCCTTTGTGGGAGATGATTCAAAATAACATAAAAGTGAGCCTTGAAAAAAATGTTTCAAAAAGGAAATCACTGAATATAGTTTTCAGATCTACCCAGCTTCTGCAGGAGGAGGCTCTGGACACACAAAGAGCAAAATCTCAGGCAAGCTCCCTGCCTGGCTTATTTGATTACCTCAGAACAGGTTATGTTTAAGCCCCTTGCTTGACAGTTAATCTGGGGTGAACCATGGCTGAGTGAAGCATGACTTCAACACAAACTTTCAAATCAGAATGGCGCAATTTTTAAGGAACTAACTTGGAATAAACAAAACTTTGAAAATATGCCAAGATAAATATATAATATTCCCAAAAGCATAAAAATATTTTTAACATGTCCTTCTTGAGAATGTTACAGAAACAAATTCCTTCTCTCTATTCTTCACACACCAGCCCTCCCCAGGAGAGCAATCTAGTAACTTGTTAATCAAGTTATATTCCTGACTGCTTGCCAGTGGCTTATCTGACTGCAATTCCAGACTGGAGGAGTCAGCTAGGTGACAGAAGCACTTGAGTGGTCCTTTTTAAGGTCCAATGCCCTCGCCACAACTCCACCCCACAGTTGTTTAAAGGCTCAACAGCCAAGCTCTGAAAGTGATTCCTGGTTAAGGATTGCAAAGAAAATTTGAATCCCCAAACCCTGCTTAGTGGGTTTTTAACGAGACAGCCCACTTCTAACAGACTGTTTAGACCTGGGTCTCACGCTCTGAGCCCCCTGGTGTAAACAGAAGCTGGGGGTGGGGGCTGGGAGTACAGCGAGTGTGGAGATGTTTGTAACAGTTAAACCTTACCTGTATGCCCCCTGGAGTGTCCTGGATCTGCAGCGATAGCTGGTCTCCCTCTACATAGACAAGTCGTGAATACAGCTTGCCTGGAGAGAGGAAAGTTTGCTTTATTACACCCTCATCAGGAACAAAGAATACCTAAGCATGCAGCCACAAAAGCACGAAACGGTTCTAACCTGTATTCGGCTCGTAATCGCCAATGAATCTCTTGGTTAAGAAGCGCACAATCATTGCTGAAAAGGAAATATGAAAATGAACTCAGGACCAGGACTTGCCGGCGACACCACGACTCTTTGGGAAATGGAGGGAGTGATGGGTCGCAGAAGTGCGGTCCAGCCTGCACACTAAGTGTCTGCAGGGTGAGGGCGCCGTGGCCACCCGCGGATTTTGTGGGTACGACTAGAGGTCGCACAGCCCAACAGGTGCCACCTGGAGCGAGAGTCCAGAAGTAGATGCTCCGGAGATGCCGCTGGAACAGCAGGAGCGTGCGGGAGAGGCCGGGACAGAGGCGAAAAGTCCAGGTTCTTCCCTGAGTCCTGATCCCCTCCCTCCACCCAGACCTCGGGTTCATGCTGGACCCACACACTTGATTCGACTCCGTGGGGTCCGATCGCTCCCGCCGCACTCACCACTCTTGCCCACGCGGCCCGCGCCCAGCACCGCTAGTTTGATGTCCTTCGGTAGAAGACAATCGGAGGAGGATTCGGGGATGGGCGCCAGCAGAAAGTGCCCGGACATGGTGGGTGACCTCATGGAGCACGAGCAGGCGGAGGGTGCAAGCCTCTGGGGCTGGGGCCTCGGCACCTCGAGACGGCTGCCAGCAGAGAGTTGGGGCACACAAGTCGGCAGGCAAGCGAGAGGCCCGCGGAGCGGGCAATGCCCTCGGCTTTTAAAGGGCTCCACGCGCTTGGGGGCGCGGCTGTCGCCATAGGCCCCTCCTCTTCCCTCTCCCCCCGCCCCCCTTCCCGAGCAGCAGGAAGCGGGTGGGAGCGGAGAGCCGAGGGACCGTCACCGCGGATTGCGCACCTCACCGCCTGACGTGCTCAGCCCGGACCTGCGCGGTCCGGCCCCCGCCCACCCCTGGAAATACCACCACCCTGAGAGCATGACAGTTACTAGGCTGTCATTAGGTAAACTGAGACTGTTATGAGCAAGAGGGTGAAAGCAAGAGGAAAAGTTGCTATCAGTTGGATGTTACTGCAACAATAAGGGATAGATTGTATTTTCAGAAACTGCTGGGGGGCGATAATAGAGGGTGGAGGGGGCTGAGGCAGGGAGGTGGGGGAAGAGTCCTGGATTAGACTGTGTCAGAGAACGGCAGTCCTTGTGACCTTGGTCCAGGTACGTGAAGGCCCACTGGCGGCAGAAATTGCAGCTCAGCCTCCATACTGCAGGTAGAATTTACTCATCGCGGAACACAAGCATTCCATCTGCTAGAAGCTCGGTCTTTGGACTAACTTGCCAGTTAATGCTGTCCTAGGCATGGGAGCCCTGTATTTGTTGCATTATCCAAGTACATACAATACATAGTTTAAGGGGGGAGGATGAGAAGGAGTTAGAGGGTTAGTAAAATAAAACACAAGAGAAATGGTCTGGCCCTTGGGTTTGGTGAACCCACCAGGATGAGGCAGAAAATTTGGGACTTTACCTTGCAGCTTCAAAGAACTTCATGCATCTAGCTAGCTGTATTTCAGCCTCATGTCCAGTTAATCCTCAATATTCCTTTTTCTATTAGTCAGTGTTTGCTGCATGACAAACTCCACAAAACTTACTAGCTTAAAACAATTCTTCACAGCTAGCTGCTCACAAAGCTAAAGTTCATTGAAGTGGTTATCCTAACCTAGGCCAGGCTCAGCTGATCTTGCTCTTCCAGGCATCTGCATTAGGGTTGAGGAGTGCTGGCAACTGGTTAGCAGCCAGGATGGGCGGAAAAGACAGTGACTGAGTCACATGTCTCTCCTTACCAGCAGTCTGGCAAGGGCCTGTTCTCTTAGTAGCTGAGCAGGGTTACAAGGGAGTCAAAGTGACAAAGCTTTCTTGAGATATAGGCTCCAAAGTGGAACCCATCATCTCTGCTGTGTTTCCTTACCCAAAGCAAGTCACATCAGCCCAAATCAAGCAGTGGGGAAATTCATTCTACTCTTGGAGGTGAACTATAAAGTCACATAAAAGGGTTGGGCTGCAGAAAAAGAATGGATCCATTTTTAGTCAACCACACTAACGAAAGTGCCTCCCTCAACCCAGTAGCACTGAGTTTAGTCACCCTTATTTCCATGTCAATCAATCACCAAATTCCATCATTTTTAGGGCTTACATTTTGGAGTCTCTTCTTCAACCCTATGCTTCATTTCTCAAAGGAAAAGTCCTGTAGTAGACTAGGAACAAATGGTGACTCTCTTCCTCCCTGGGAAGAAGTTGCAACCCCCACCCCAACCTCCCACTCTCCAACATCCCTGGAAGTGTCTCAACAGTCATTACTTTCTGGTGGAATGGTTTCTGTCTGTAACCAGCAGGGTAGGGTCTCTTACATCACCCATCATAAAGCAGTGATCCTGGGACTTCCAAGATCTTTAATGTTTGTTCACTGACTGGTGGAATAAATGGTGTCTTCACCATGTGAACTGAAGACAGGTGTATGTATAGGCATTATCCCAATACCTTGGTCTTCAGAGCAACCTCCTCCCAAAATGTTCCAAGAATACTGAGATCTGCTTTATTTCTGTTGTATGGACTTGGCTATTATGGCAATTCCCCCTGTCAACTATTTAACTAGAAAGGCTTGAAGCATAGCACCTAGTTCCCTGA